ACATCTTTGTTGGTATGTGGTGCTGCTGAGGATCGAACCCGGGCCGCACGCATGCTAGGCGAGCGCGCTACCGCTTGAGCCACATCCCCAGCCCCCTCTTTTTTCTTAATCATGGTGGGAAAACAGAAATTTTTAACATTAAATATAATATTGCTATGGATTTTTTTGTAGATGACTGTTATCAGATTGAGGAAGTTCTCTTCGTATGAGAGCTTTTATCATGTCAAATGCTTTTGTGTTTGTGTGGGAAGTGGAGTACTAGGAGATGGACCCAGAATCTTGCATATACTAGGCAAGCACTCTATTTGTGAGCTACATTCCCTTAGGGAGACAGGATCTCCCTAAATTGTACAGTTTGAGTAGCTTCAAACTTGCAATTCTCCTCCCTCGGCCTCCTGAGTAGCTGGGATCACAGGCATGCACCACCATACCCAGTCTGTCAAATATTTTTTTCTGAAAATATTGAAATGAGTGTGCATTTTTTTGGTTGTTTATTCTATTAACAGTATATTACACTGATTGATTTTTGTATTATGTAATGTTTCTAAACAGGGATGAATTCCAGTTGGTCAAGGTGCATAATTCTTTTTACAAAATGCTGCATTTGGCTTGCTAGTATTAAAGATTTCTGGAACTATATCTAAAGGGATAATGATTAGTAGATTTGTGCTTTCCTTTTTTTCCCCTTTTGTGGTGGGGATAAAACCCAGAGCCTCATGTGTGTTAGAGAAGGGCTCTATCACTGAGCTATACCCTCAGCCCCAGTGGTTTTATTTGTGTGTGTGTGTGTGTGTGTGTGTGTGTGTGTGTGTGTGTTTTGTCTGGTTTGGGTAACATTAGCCTCACAGAATGAGTTTGTAAGTATTAACTTCATTCATAATTTTTTTGTAAGAGTTTATGAAGGATTAATTCTTCAAATGTTTGGTAGAACTGGATGTGGTTGCACACACCTGTAATCCCATACTCTTGGGAAGCTGAGGTGGAGGATTACAAGTTCAAGACCAGCCTCAGCAATTTAGTGGTTAGGAATTTAGTGAGATGCTGTTTCAAAATAAAAAATAAAAAGGACTAAGGATATGGCTTAGTGGTTAAGCACCACTAAGTTCAATCCCTAATACTAATAAATAAATAAATAATGTTTGGTAGAATTACCAGTGAAGTCAGCTGAATTCAAGGCCTCACACATGATAATTCCCAGCTCATTTTATTTTTTATTTTGAGACAGGGTCTCACTAATTTGCACAAGCTGGCCTTGAACTTGAGATCTTCCTGCCTCAGCCTCCCAAGTAGCTGGAATTATAGGCATGTACCACTACACCAAGCTAATTTTTCTAATTTTTTAAAAAATACCTACTATTAGGGCCTTATTATTCTACGGTACCCTGTTTCCTTGTTACTTATTCAGGTGTAAGCAGACTTCTTACTGCAGGTTTTCTCAAATGAAAAAACATTGCAGGAATACCAAAGACAGTAGTGTTTGCATTAGTGTTCTGTAATTGCAACATGGTGCCAACATTAATTACTGACAGTCAACTAATGAGAATTTGAGAATTGTGAAATATGCCTAGTTGCTTTTGTGTTACACTTTGGTGGTCACTGGAAGGTTTTGGAAAGCACCCCCCTATCCCCGATTTTTTTTTTTCCCCTCAGATTTCCCTTTCTCTAACACCTAGGTCACTGTCAGCTATTCCCCTCTCTGTAGCCACCACATGTGTCTGAAGAGAAAGCATTTAATAAAACTGTTGAAATATTTAAAAAAAAATACATACTAACCAATATTAATCATATAAATTAACAGGTTTCACAATGACATTTTCTTTCTTTCTTTCTTTTTGTGGTACTGGAGATAAAACCCAGAGGTGTTTTACCATTGAGCTATACCCCCAGCCCTTTTTATTTTGAGACAGGGTCTCAATAAGTTGCTGAGACTGTCCTCAAACTTGTGATCCTACTGTCTTAGCCTGAGTTGCTGGATACATAGGCATGCACCACCAGACCTGGCTCACTGTGATGTTTTTCATACATGCACATATTATGTTTTAATAGTGCCCACCCTTCCTCGCACCCTCTCCTCCATTATTTCTCAATCCAGACAGAAGAATTTGTGTATTTCATCTAGGTTATCTAATTTGTTGTTCATAGTATTCTCTTATAATCCTTTTTAGCCGGGAGTGGTGGTGCTCACCTCTAATCCCAGTGACTCAGGAGGCTCAGGCAGGAGGACTGAAGGTTCAAAGCTAGCCTCAGCAATTTAGTGAGGCTGTAAGCAACCTAGTGAGACCCTGTCTCAAAATAAAGAAATAAAAAGGGTTGGGGATGTGGCTCAGTGGTTAAGTGCCCTTGGGTTCAATCCCTGGTACCAAAAAAAAAAAAAAAAAAAAATCCTTTTTATTTTTGCAGTAGTAGTGATGTCCCCTGTTTTATTACTTGATTTTAGTTATTTGAGCCATCTCTCTTTTTTTCTTGGCCAGTCTATCCAAAGATGTGTCAATTTTGTTGATATTTTCAAAGAACTACCTTGTGATTTTATTGACTTTCTCTATTGTTTTTCCATTCTCTACTTCATTTATTTCTATGTTACATTATTCTATTTATCCTGCTTGTGTGTGTTTAGTTTGTTCTGTTTCTATTTTCTTAAGGTAGAAGATTAGGTTACTGATTGTCTTTGTAAAAAAACACATAAGTAGGGGTGGGGTTGTGGCTCAGCAGTAGAGTGCTCACTTAGCGCATTCTAGGACCTGGGTTCGATCCTCAGCACCATATAAAAGTAAAAAAAAATAAAGGTATTGTGTCCAACTGCAACTATAAAACAAAACAAAACTCATAATTTTATAGTCATAAATTTCCTTGTAAGCAGTATTTTAGTTGCATCTCACAGTTTTGGTATATTGTATTTTCATTTTCATTCATCTTAAAGCATTTTCTAGGGGCTGGGTGTGTAGCTCAGTGGTACAACATGCCTAGCATGCACAAGACCTTGGGTTCAATCCCTAGTACCACACCCCCAAAAAAAGAAATTTTTTAATCTGCCATGACAGAATTGTTTTGGGGGACTTTGTGGTTTAATTTCCACTGGTTGTAAGTATACCAAATTTCCTTTTGTTATCAATTTCGCAGCATAAACACTATATGATTTCTTTCTTTCTTTTTTCCTTTTTTTTTTGCACCAGGAATTGACCCAGAGGGGCACTCAACCACCGATCCTCCTGCCTCTGCCTCCTGAGCAACCGGGATTACAGGTGTGCATCGTACCGCCATGAAATCATGGCTTATGATTTCAATCTTTTAACATTTATCGAGATTTGTTTTGACCTAAGATATGGTCCATTCCAAAGAATATCCCATGTATCCTTGAAAAGAATGTGTATTCTCTGGTCGTTAGATAAAATATTCTAATAGATATCTGTAATGTCTAGCTGGTTTCCTCTGCCTCTCTTAAAGCCATAGCAGGGCAGACAGCTCACATTATACTCAATATTCAATATTCCTCTTCTACCCAGTCTTTCCTATGAGGTCAAGAAGCTATTGTGCTTTAAAAATAGAAGTAATAATGTCAATACTTACAAAGCACATCCTTTGTGCCAGGCATTCTTCTAAGCACTTTACATACAATCATTCATTTCATCTCACCACATGCTTACCTTTGTACCCCAAGCAGCTGTTCCTCAGTATAAGTGGAGCTCCCTTCACCCTGTCGGTTCTGATTCCACTCATTCTCGCACTTCTTTTCCTTCTGTGCCTTCATGCAGTTACAGCAACCACAGGGGTCATGACTCTCAGGAGGTTTGTCTTCTGGGTATTTGTTTCTTCTAACTGCATCAATATAAGCTGCAAAGTAATAGCTTCTCAATAAGGCCTCTGCCTGACTCTGCAAATCAACGTTGCTATATGCATTAACTCTCTTAGTTAGAGGTTGCTTGGAGACAAGAGAAGGAAGGTATTAGGAAGAGGCAAAGGACATTATGCCGACTTTTTTTTTTTTTTTTGCAGGGGAGTGGTCCTAGGGAGTGAACCTAGGGCCTTGAGCACGCTAGGCAAATGCTTTATTATAAGCTATATACCCAACATGCTGACTTTTGAGTACTTATACAAAGCTGAATAAACATCTTTCCTGGAAAACTATTACAGAAAATATGAGAAAGCAGCTGAAAAAAACTTAGAAATGCTAGAAATATGAAGCACAGCCTATATTCCCAGCAACTTGGGAGACTGCAGGAGGATCACAAGTTCCAGGCTAGCCTCTGCAACTTAGTGAGACCTTGCCTTAAAATAAAAAGGGCAGGGCTGGGGCTGTGGCTCAGGGGTAGCACATTTGCCTGGCATGTGTGAGGCACTGGGTACGATTCTAAGAACCACATATGAATAAATAAAATAAAGGTCTATCAACAACTAAAAAGTAAATAAATAAATAGGGCTGTGGATGTAGGCCAGTAATAAAGTGCCCCTGGATTCAATCCCTAGTACTACAAAGGGAAAAAGAGGAACAAAGAAAAGAAACATGAAGTATAGAAAGTCTACCATACGTAACAATGGTCAATCATCAAATAAAGTCAGAAAAGGGGGTATCTACTTAAAACCCTGCTTCTAGTGCAATACAGGGGGAATTTTTTTTTTTTTTTTTTTTTTTTTTTAAAAAGAGAGAGTGAGAGAGAGGGGGGCAGAGAGAGAGAGAGAGAGAATTTTAACATTTATTTATTTTTTCTTAATTCTCGGCAGACACAACATCATTGTTGGTATGCGGTGCTGAGGATTGAACCCAGGCCACTACCGCTTGAGCCACATCCCCAGCCCCGTACAGGGGGAAATTTATTTCTCTCTGCTCCATGGTCAGAAGCAACATTGCTCAGAAAATGAAACTTTTTGTTGCAATGCCTCTTACTCCGAAGATTTAAAGTAGAGAGAAATTCAATTATTTTAAACTAACAATTATATATACCAAGAAACTTGGCTAGATAGTTCAGGGGGGAATGTAGGAGTAAGACCTACTCCTAAACCAAAGAGGTTAGTTTAATAGGAGAGGATTCAATAAATCATAACACCAGCAGAATGTAAAGAGAGTTTCATGAATTCAAAGAGAGCAGAGCCTCATGTCTTGTCTGGAGAATCAGGGAAAGGCTTTAAAAACATCATTTCCTGCTTAACATCCTTCAGTGACTATCCATTGCTTCCTGACACTCCTCCTATAAGTGGGCCTAACTCCAATGAATCCTTCATACTATCATTTGTAACATTTACTTCAAGAAGCCTCCCTTGACACTCAGGGCTGTGCTGGGCCTTATCAGTGTGCTTCAAACCCCCAACTTTGCTATGTTAGCCCAAGGTTTTCTGGGCTTGTTTTGTAATTAGTTGATAACCCTTCAAACTCTCTCATTGAGCCTACAGTTCTTTTGGCTCAGAGGCCCATGTCTGTCAAATCCCCATTATAGGTTCAACACAGTAAGTAATGGATCAATACTTTTTGCTTGGCTATAGGATGGAAAAGGGCAGCCTATAGGTCCTGATTCATATTGCAGGGGCAAGATCAAACCAGGATTGAGGGTCCTGCGGCCCAGTTTGATGGGGTAATAGATAAGGTTAAGATAGCAAGCTGCAGGAGACCGCAGCAGCAGCACCCGGGGGACCCTCCAGTTACCTTGGTGAAGGAGGGGCAGGATGGCCTCGGGGGCCCTGGGCGGGGCACGGGGCAGGGCAGGGCGGGGCTGGGGGCCGGAGGCAACAAATCGTCACCGGTGACTCTAAGTTCCCGCCGGGGCCCTAGCTCCGGCCAGAGTTCCCGTTCCGGGATTCTGGCCTGTATCCTGGGCTGTCCTCCACCCTTTTCGGAATGCTACTTAAGCTTAGCATCTTCTTACAGGCCTCCATCCTTCACCTCGAGCTCAGGATCTCAACCTTTATGCTCTTTCAGGAGCCCCATCCCTGATTTCTCCGGAATGCCACCTTATCCCACCCTCAAGCCAGGACCTGGTACCTTCGGTCCAGCGCTCCCCGCTGCCCAGAGTGGCCGCCATATCCGTTCCCAGTCAGCAGATGCTTGGAGCCTCCTGGTCGCCCGAGGCTGAAAGAGAAGGGGGGCACGGAGCGCGGGGCACGCTGGTCATTGTAGTTGTCTGTATGGGCTACAAGGGGCACGGGACTACAATTCCCGGCAGGCCTCACGAGAAAGGTCTGCGGAGGTGCAGACTGACCAAGGGGCTCGACCCAGAGAATAGCGCGGGTGCGGCTAAACGACCCTTCCTCACCAGTAGAGAGCGAGTAGCGGCTTCTGCCCTGCCTCTACCTCAGTGCATCCAAGGAGGCGCAACTGAGCGTCCTGCCTGCGAAGAGCTTCGCAATCTATAGGGTAGAGGGTGACAATTTGACTCTACTCTTCAGGATGTCCTTTGTAAAATACACCAATTCCTGTTAGTGTGAAGTCTGTGTTGGGCCCCAGAGATTTAGAGATGGTTTGTGGGGTGCACACTCCAGTTCTGGGGAGCTTAAGAGCCACGAAATTAGAATTAGAAAAATGAAGTAGAAACGCGCTTGTAGTTGTAGATGGACAGCATACCTTTATTTTATTTGTTTATTTTTACGTGGTGCTAATGATCGAACCCAGTGCTCGAGACTTTTCTCCCATGCAGGCGTTTCTTTGGCCGGTTCCTTTTCTGAAGTACCAAATCTGGTGCTGAGGATCGAACCCAGGGCCTCACACGTAATCCCAGCTATTGCAGAGGCTAAAGCAGGAGGATTGCAAGTTCAAGGCCGACTTCAATTTAGTGAGGCCCTAAGCAATTTAGCAAGACCCCTGTCTCAAAAAATAAAAAAAGGCTGGGGATGTGGCTCAGCGTTTAAGCGCCCATGTGTTCAATCCCTGGTACCAAAAAACATAAACAACACAACAACAACAAAGATAAACGAATAAAAAAGGGCTGGGATGTGACTCAGTGGTAAAGCAAGTAGGTTCAATCCCCTGGAGAGAGAGAGAGAGAGAGAGAGAGAGAGAGAGAGAGAGAGAGAGAGCGCTAGATAGAGAGGCGCTAGGGTTGTGGCTCAGCAGTAGAGCACTCCTAGCACATGCAAGGCCCTGGGTTCGATCCTCAGCACCACATAAAAATAAATAAATAAAACAAAGGTATTGTGTTCAACTACAACTAAAAAATAAATATGGGAGAGAGAGAGAGAGAGAGAAGGAAAGAAAGAAAGAAAGAAAAGAAAGAAAGAAAGAAAGAAAGAAAGAAAGAAAGAAAGAAAGAAAGAAAGAAAGAAAGAAAGAAAGAAAGAAAGAAAGAAAGAAAAAGGCTGGATGGCTCTACTGGCTACAGTATCCTCATTCACTGACTCATGCATGCAGGAAGATGTGGGTGGGTTGGAATGTCCAAAGATCAGATCTAGGAAATGGCAAAACTGTCATCTCAAAAACAAACAAAATACACATGAAAAAAAACTGGAATTCATTCAGAGCTTCACCCAAGAAGACTAAATCAATTATGATAGCAGTAGCTACTTAGGCTTTTGGGGGAGTGGGGTAAGTGTGGTGATGATGGATAACCCTGATGGATAACAGGAACTGGAAGAGGAAAAGTCCCAAATGGCATGCAATTTCAGCAATTCCCTGCAACAAATCATTGTGTGGCCCTGGCCAACTCCCTTCTTCTCCTTTGGCCTCAGTTTTCTTACCTGTAAGATGATTTCCACCTTATAGAATTTTTTGGATGGGAATTATATTGGGATTTGAACCCAAGTCCTCACATACATCTCACCTATGAGGTTAGATTAGATTAGATTGGTGGCTTTAATTTTATCTATCTATCTATCTATCTATCTATCTATCTATCTATCTATCTATCTATCTTTCTATTTTATTTTGCAGTGCAGGAGATTGAACCTAAGGCCTTGCAGTACTGGACAAGTGCTCTACCACTGGGCTACATCCCCAACCCTGTCTCTGGGATCTTATATAGAGAGTGGGAAGAGGAAGGAAGGCACATCAGGGAAGGCTCTAGCATCTTACCTTTCTTTGCTTCTTCAATCAAAGTAGCTCTGCTTTTTTTCTGGCTTATATTTTGTGGTCTACTAAAGGAAAAAAAACCCACTATTTGAAAACTACCAAACTAATTGACCACTAAATGCTTGTGTCATTTGTAGCATCAATTACAAAACAAGTCCTTAAGATAATGCTCTGCAGTGCCCTCAATCCCAGTAAGCACTGATATTGGATCATTTTCATTTGACTGAGCAGGGAGAATTAGCATAGTTGTTGAGAGATCTGAATAAGATTGTTATAGAATATAATAAGAGTGTTTGTATTTAGTATCTTATATTGCATGTAGTATGTGTTTAATACATTGTAGCCAACCATTATGAACTAGCTTGGTGAAAGAGAAACGTTTGTGTGTGTTTGTGTGTGGTTCTGGGGGTTGAATCCAGGACCTCATATATGATAGTAGATGCTCTACCACTGAGCTACTTCCCCAGCCTTTTTTTTTTGGGGGGGGGTAGGGGATACTGGGGATTGAAGCAGGAGCACTTGACCGCTGAGCCTCATCCTCAGCCCTATTTTATATTTTTTATTTAGAGACAGGGTTTCACTGAGTTGCTTAATGCTTCACTTTTGTTGAGGCTGGCTTTTTTTTTTTTTTTTAAAGACAGTGAGGAGAGAGAGAGAGAGAGAGAGAGAGAGAGAGAGAGAGAGAATTTTTAATATTTATTTTTTAGTTCTCGGCGGACACAACATCTTTGTTGGTATGTGGTGCTGAGGATCAAACCCGGGCCACACGCATGCCAGGCGAGCGCGCTACCGCTTGAGCCACATCCCCAGCCCTTGAGGCTGGCTTTGAACTCACAATAGTCCTACCTCAGCATCTAGAGCCTCTGGGATTACAAGTATGAGCCAAGCCCTAGCCCCTTTTTAAATTTTATTTTGAGATAGGGCTTCACTAAGTTGTCCAGGTTGGCCTCAAACTTATGATCCTCATGCCTCAGCCTCCTGAGTAGCTGGAATTACAGGTGTGTGTGCCACTGTGCCCAGCAAGAAATCATTTTATGTGTGTTTTGTTATAGCAAATTAACAGTAGGGATGTAGGGTTGGGGTTGTGGCTCAGTGGTACAGTGCTCACTTAACACAGGTGGGGTACTGGATTTGATCCTCAATGCCACCTAAAAATAAATAAATAAAGTCAATTGTGTCCATCTACAACTAAAGAAGAATATTTTTAAAAATGTAGGAGTGTATACTGGGCATGTCTACACTGGAGTATGTCATAAGGTCATGGTTATGACTAACTGGACTCCTGAGCATATATATGTGGCAAAATTACTACAAGTAGGAAAGAGCATAGCACTACCAAGAATGGCGGGAAAGCTGCTTTTCCCTTCACCCTAACCCCTGAACCAGCAGCCAAAGCCAGTGATTATCCCATATTTCAGAAAGAGCAGAAGATGACAAAAATATGAGAAGAAATGTCCATCATAATTAGATTGTTATGCTCTTGAGTGGCAAGGGAGGCACCCAAACCATAAGATGAGTCAAAGGCTCTATGCTGGGACCCTGGGCCTATGACCAGCTTATATATTCCAGGCAGCAGTGTGATTACAGAAATCTAGATCCTGAAGAAGATACTTGTGATCTGTGGCTCAGGAACCTAATCAGTAACATCTAGCAGGTGGTTGTATATAAGGAAGGGTTTTTTTTGTTTCTGGGAGGGTAGACAGCCTGCTCGAGAAGATGGCCAGCTGAGATCGACTGCAACTTGGAGCCAGAATCACATGGTCAAAGTCTACAGGTACTCAGAGATGTCTCAATATCATGAAGTCATGGGTTTCTGGCTGAGAGGGGGAGTGCAGGATTGAGAAGGGGTACCATGAATAAAGAAACTAGTTAGGAGCAGAATCCAGGTACTGGAAAGGCTGGGTATAGTGGTACACACCTGTAATTCCAGGTACTGGGAAAGCTGAGGCAGGAGGATTGCAAGTTTTGGCTGTTCTGGCAACTTAGTGAGACCCTGTCTCCAAATAAAAAGTCCTGGGAATATAGCTCAGTGGTAGAGCACTTTCCTAGCATGTGCAAAGTCCTGGGTTTAACCCCTAGTAATAAAATAAAAAGGAGGATATCCACAAACCCAGGAAAGACTGGTAAAAAGAGTCATAAATGTTTTCCGACAGATTCACATAGAATTTTTTAGGAATAGCCTGATTTGGGGAAATTGTGTGCCAAAGTTAGGCCAAGGAGGCCTGCAGCCAGGTTTTCTCATTTTCTACACTTACTTTAAAAAAATACTTGTTGAATTGCAGTGAATTTTTCCTGTTGATCCAGAGGTTTTCGATGTGCCCTGTAAGACTGAGTTCTGCCCCATCCAGACCTGAAAGAAAGATGCTGGGAAAACAGTCCTCCCGCCCATGGGGCCTGTGTGCCTGAGCTGGTTGCCCTCCCATAGGATTGGGGAATAAATGAGAGGACACTTTACATAAGTCTCCCCACCCCACTACTTGCTCCTGCTTTAGGACCATGTAGTCCTATATCAGAAAAGGGAGGAAGTCATTTGTAAATGGCCACCATCCTGTTGTCTAGACAACAAGGAGGAGATGTGGTCTTAGGGAAGCTGCAAGGGCAGCAGAAGGCTACACTCGGATTTCCTGTCAGAGGTGGGGTCTTGTATTTGCATAAATAAAAGTATCCTCCCAAATAACCCCCTCTAACATAGTTTGCTCAAGAGCAGAATTCAGCATTGAGTTCATCCTCAACCCCTCCCAAAGTATAAAGTTTACTTAGCAGCAGGAAAATCAACATGGCTAATGTGATACTGCAGTTTCAGCAGTAGAGTAAGAGATTTTTAAACCCAAAGATATTAATACCAGTCACCCCTTCTCCCACACAAATAAATACCTTATGACTAACAGCTCATATTTGCAGGACATTGTCCAGAGTCAGGAGAAATCTGTGGCTTTATAATGGAAACGCTGACTGAATTATCTAGAGTGAGATCCACACACTTGACCAATTAGTTCAGTATGCTAAGCATTTGAATAAGTGCCCTAAACAGAATCCAAGACTTTTTTATACATTGTTATGTCACCTGGGGGTTCTATCCCAGTGATAGATTTTTGTATTGGAACTGACTAGTAAGTCATGTGCCTTTTGCAGTGTGGTATAAATCAAATGTATGTGAATTATTTTTTTAAAAATGCTGTAGTATTGCTACATAGGTTGGATCTTCTAGGAAATTACTGAAATGCTGAGATTTGCCTACTGAGGGTTTATTGGTGATGCTTCTGAAAACTACAGTTGTGAAGAGTAAGAGGAGCAGGATTGAGCAGGGGGGAAAATTGAGGCAAGGGGTCCAGGTTTTCATACCTTCCCTCACCCCCACCAGCCAGCCATCAAGCAGCCAAAAGCTCTCTGCTGCCAGCACACTGCTGCAATTGGGGAACAAATATCTTAGTCCTGAAGTGGGACCTGGGTGGTACTGCTTTAGACTGTCTGCTACGATTGCTAATGAGTACTTTACTTCCCAAGTATCTCCACTTGTTATTTCATTTTACCTACCCAGTAGCTTGTGAGGAATTCCTAAGAATGTTAAAGACTTGCCAGTGACACCTAGGCTCCCACCAGAGTAAACTCTGCTCAACAGATTCATTTCATTCATTCATTCATTTTATTTTTTAATATCTAGAGTTCACAGAACTGTGGGATATAAAACAAAAGAAGTTAGTGAAAGCCAAGTAGTCCAGCCACCTCACTTTATTATTTATTTTTGGTGCTAACGATTGAACTTACAGCCTTGTACATGCAAAGCAGATGCTGTACCACTGAGCTACACACCTTTAGTCCCCAACAAGCTCTCTTTAATATCTCCCTCCACCCTCCCTCAACCTCCAGAGCCACTGAGACAATAGGTGTGTGCCACCGTGCCTAGCCCACTTTAATAGTTTTTTGGAGGGGTTTCGGGCACTAGGGATTGAATCCAGTGGCACCTTACTGAGCTACACCCCCAGTCCTTTTTATTTTTTATTTTGACACAGGGCCTTGCTAACTTGATGAGGGCCTATATGAATTGCTGAGGCTGACTTTGAACTTGCAATCCTTCTGCCTCAGCATCCTGAATTCCTGGGATTACAGGCATGTACCACCATGCCTAGTATTTTATAGTTTAACTGAGACAAATAAAACAAAACTTTTTGTTCTAGACATTCTGTCTCATACCACTTTATGAAGTCAAAGCCAGAAGAAAATAGCATACTGTTCCTGCAGGTGAGTAAGCTCCATTCTCCCTGTGTCCTAAACTGCCAATTAGCAGTAGATTAGATATACACAGATGACTTCTCTTGATTCATTTCCAAACCAATGACATAGTAGACATGACTATTACTAAGAAAACAGATATTTCCTTTCTTTTTAATGACTTCATAGTATGTCTGCAATCCTTTATTATGTTTCTAGGACACAAACACAATGTCAGTCAAAGGTCAAATGTGTGGGTTTTTGGACCTTAAAGACCTATCCTTGAAGTAAATCTTCCCAGTGCTCATCTCATGCTCAGAGCCAAAATGAAGTGTATCCATGCTGGCAGAGAACACTTGAATTTCATTCAGCTTTCACTCCTGGAGTTTCTTTGTCAAAATGGATTGTGCTTCCCTTGTTTTTATTCTACAGATTTAAAACTTTGTATTGCCTGGGCTGAGAATGTGGCTCAGTGGTAAGGTGATTGTTCAATACCCAGCACTTCAAAAAACAACCTTTTTATTGGTGATGACTGGTCTCTGTTTACAGTCCCTTGTGTCTCATTTCTGTTGAGTAGGTCAGTCAGTTACCTCAACCCCACTTAATAAAATAGGTGAACAGAGGCAGACTGAATAAAAAGTTCCTCTCCCACATTTCTCAGAGAGCTTCCCACAGAAGCAGAAAGAGGTATGCATGCTTGGCCTAGCAAAGAAATCTGGAAAGCTTCTGGAATGTTAAAAAATGTACAAGGGATCCAGGCATGGTGGTGCACACTTGTAATCCCAGCAACTCAGGAGGCTGATACAGGAGGATTACAAGTTCAAGGCCAGCCAGGGCAATTTAGGGAGATCCTGTCTCAAAACACAAAAAGGACTGGGGATGTAGCTCAGTGATAAAGTGCTTGAAAGTATGAGGTCCTGTATTTGTACCACACACACAAAGAGGAAGAAATGTGCATGGAAACATAGACCTTAAAAGAAATTGGACTGCCAGACTAGAAAATAATTTTAATGCAAGCATAAAGGATCAGTCCACTGCGGTATTTTTCCTTCTTCTTGCTTTATAGGCTGCTCCTTCATATGACTCTAGAAAGAAGAGGATCAGGCCATATTTCTGTCTGTGTGGGAAGCAGTCTCTCATGCTGGAAGCTTGCTGCCAGATCTGGAGGAGTGCCAGTGTCCTTTAGATCCAGGAGCAGACACAAAACAATAAAATAATTTATATATGGTTTATTGCCTCTATCAATTTCATCTCTTCCTCCTTATAGTCATGGAATAGCTGCATCATCCTTGGACCCATGGGGACCAAAGTCACTTTTAAAGAACCTGCAAAATGAATACATAATGAGGAAGGGTGAACTTCTTAGGAAGGGGAGGGTAGGGGAAAGGGCAGAAGAACATGGGTCTTTGGAAGTATTTCCTTGCTGACCAAGAACCAGAGCCTGAAAATAGGAGCAGGAGGAGGGAAATATGAATTCGGAGAAGGAAGGAAATAGATAAACGTACCTTCTCTGCTGAGGGGCAGCCTTTGCTGTTATTCATGTTGATATTCTTCATGGAGATGAGGGTGATGCTGTCTTTTTCTCCATTGGCTGTGGAGCAGCTGGGACAGGAAGGAAGTTTGTGTTACAGAAAGAAGCTGGAAGGGCAATGAGAGGCAAGGAACCCAGCAGGGGGGGGGGTACGCTTCAAAAACATCTATATTTAGGGGATGCACCATAGTGAACCAAGAGTGAGCTCTGAGGGGCTGGTATTGTGGCTCAGTGGTAGAGCGCTTGCCTAGCATGCGCGGGGCCCTGGGTTCAATCCTCAGCACCACGTAAAACTAAATGAATGGAATAAAGGTATTGTGTCCAACTACAACGAAAAAATAAATAAATTTTTTTTTTAAAGAGTGAGATTTGAAGCTTCAAAGACTTGCATTTACTATCCATTACTGATTTGATCTTGATCAAGTTACAACTTCCCTACAGCCTCAATTTTTAAATTTTATTTTTATATTTGGTATTGGAGATTGGACCCAGGGCACTCTACCACTGAGATACACCCCCAGCTACACCCCCAGCCCTTTTTATTTTTTAAATTTGAGACAGGGTCTTGCTAAATTGCTGCCTCAACCTCCCAAGTAGCTCAGATTATAGGAATGTGCCACCACAGCTGACCCCCTCAGGTTTTTAATTATATAAAATGAAGTCATATTTACCTTGGAGAATTGTTGAAAGGATTTGAGCTCATATTGCACATTACATACTATTACGAGTGGCCCAGTCAATAAGAGGTTCCTAAACTTAGAGGAGAGGTCTTATCTTAGAATCTGCATTCCTATAATTATCATTAAGGGCTTAGCCCTGGAGCTGAAGAGTTCCATGGGTGGGGGGGGGGGCAGGCGGGCGTGGCATTTGCCCAGAATCCCAGCAGGTTAGGAGGATGAGACAGGAATATCACAGGTTCAAAGCCAGCCTTAGCAACTTAGCGAGGCCCTAAGAAACTTAGGGAGAACCTGTCTCAAAATAAAACATAAAACAGACTGGGGATGGGGCTCAGTGGTTAAGCACTGGGTTCAATTCCTGGTATCAAAAAAGAAGAGTTCCCATCCATCTCGTGTCACTTGGTTGTTTCTTTTCAGATCTACCACTGGCCTTCCTACACCTATCCCCTGCCTCAGTAAAGGCAGCAGGATTATGGTGTGTGTGTGTCAGTGGTGTGTGATGTGTGATTTGTATGGTGAGTGTGTATGGGGTGTGTATATATGTGTGAGGTGTACGTGATGCGTGGTGTGTGGCGAGTGATGTGTGTGTGTGTGTGTGTGCACGCATGTGTGTGGGAGGCAGGAAGTGTTTTCCTTTTGGAGTAGAGAAAAAGAGGGTCAGATAGAAGATGCCTCCCTTGAACTTCTGACAGTCTTACCTTTCAGATAGTCCTGAACTCCCTGGTTTCTGGGGATCTGTAAAAATGCAAGGACATACATTAGGGTAACATGCTATAATTCAGAAGTTCAGCCTTCCCCTCAAAGCCCACCCAAGGGGATCTTTCCAACTCATCCATGGGGCTTATAGGCTTGTGCCATTCCTTCCCTCAGCCTGAACTGGGTGTCCACCTTGGCCTTGGGCTCCAGGTCCCCCAGCACGGGGGAAAGACATATACCTTCTGACTCCTTGTTCTTCCGACACTTAAACCTTAGACTGACCACAGCGACTAGGATGATCACCACAACCACCAAGATGACAATGAAGCTGATCACACCTGAACAGGGAAAAGAATGGGGTTAAGGAAAGATGATGACAGGGGACAAGAGGGGGCAACAAGAGTTCAGAATACCCTTCCTGGCTAAGTACTATATAGACAGGCTTGGGGAATAAAGTGAATTTCACTTCTCTGCTGAACAAATGAGCTATCAGCCTGCTGTCCCTGGCTGGAGTGGGCTTTACAGCCTAGCTCCCTCCTGTCATAAGAACATGGAGTCCAGCACAGCCAAAAAGAGCTGGCTAGAGGGCCAATAGAACCTTTCTTCCATCAGTGCCTTGCTCATTAGCCAATCCCTCCTGGAACAAATGGGTAAGATTTGAATTTGTGTGCTCAGACCCAGATCCTACCCCCACATCCTAATCTTCCCTTCCTTTCTCACCAAAGGCAGCCACAGTGAGCACAGTCGCTAATGTGGGGCTAGGCAGGATGGTCAAGTCTTCCATCATACTTGAGTTCATGGTGACTGAATTAGAAGTATCATTTTGAGATGTTTCTGAAACAGAGTGGGTTTGATGTATCAGTGAAGGGTGCTGACACAGCTACCAAAGACAGCTAGCTTCTCTCCTGCTCCCCATATACAAGGCTACAGAGCCACACCCTACAAGACTTCTTTGCTGCTCTGGCCAGATCTCATGGGGATAGAGGTTGGAAATGTGGACTGTGAAGATGTGGGCTCATCTGAACAGCATTGCTAGTTGCTCACGTTACTGGTTTCAGAGGATTCCAGAAGGTTCAGGATGTTTCCCACTACTCTTTGGAGCCCACAGGAAAAGGATTTATGCTTTAGAGCTAGGAAGCCAGATCAGGCTAGGTAGAGTTGTCTGTGTTTTGCCAAGGATTGGAAATGATTCAACAAATTAGGTTGTCAGTTAAGGAGACAGTACAGGTGTTGGACCCTCTTAAAAAGTGGCATGTCACTCCACTCCTCCCCTGTTCAACTAATTGTATCTCAGGCCAGACTGCTATTCCATTTCCTTATCTCTCCTCACCCCCCTCCCAAATAAGTCTGGAGAGTAAACTATCCAAGAGCCACGGGACAGCTTGAGAGAAAGGGCCACAAGACATCTCCAACCCCCCTCTTTGCCATGCAGGACATACCTCCCCTTGCGTTGCTGCCGCCTCCGCCACTGCTGCTACTGCTGTGTGGAGCTCCAGTGCCTGTGCGGGAAACAGGTGGCCACAACAGAGGGTGTCCACCCTCCCCAGCCTTGTCTGAGAAGCATAGCCTTTCTCGACCTTTTCTGCCCTCCGGCCCCTTCTTCTCTTCATCTATGCCTTTCTTGGTCCCAGGTCCAGTCTCATTTTGCCTTCTCTGTGGCCAGGCCTAACTTCCTGTCTCAACTCCTCTCCAGATCTGTTTCATTATTTCCAAACTAAGGTGCAACTGATGCGGCTCCTGGCCTCAAGACCCCCACACCTGTGCCTCCCAAGGAGGGGAAGAAGGACCCCACCCAGATGTAACCCAGGGTTCTTCACCCCCTGCCCCTCCCACCCCGGGTACTCACTAAGTTCCGCTGTGTGCTTCTGTGCCTGGGCCTGAGTCAGGTTCTTAAAGGAGTGCCCATCTGTGACGCTTGATCTCCCTGTTACAGGGTTCCTGGATCCAAGAGGGCTTTGTGGGGTCTTCTGTGAAGTTGCTGTGCATTAGGAAACACAAATGGCCTGCTCAGGGCCTCAGGCAGCCCATGCACAGAGAGGGCTTGTTAGTCCAAAATCCTCCTCTTCTTTACTGCTTACAACTCCAGAAGCGGCCATTCTCTGGTTCACCTCTGGGCCTTTACCCTTGATGTTCATTCTGCCTGGCACATACCCCATCATCCTCCACCTCACCACCTTCACCTATTCATAACTCCTTCTTGGGTCAGTTTTGGAGGCCAATGCCTCTGGGAATCATCCCTGGCCCCCCAAGTCTGAAGGCTGATATTTGTCTGGCCTCTACAGCATTTTTTACTCTTGCCCATGAACTTTTCCCCTGCTTTATAAAAATTGCTAGTGTGAGGCTTTGTAGGCTTGTCCCTTCCCCCACTGGTCTATAGTCTCCTGTAGAGAAGATGCAGTGTCTGGGTCCTCCCCAGTTCTTCCCTGGATGGCATTTGTGGTATCAAAGGCCGAGTACCTGGAATACTGGAGCTGAAAAGAAGCCTTGGGCTGCCAAACTCGGAGGAAGATTTTTCTCCTGCAAGGATGGAGGCAGATGGAGAGTTGGGGGTTAGGCAGGTTTGGTGACACCCCAATCCCTTGCCCATCCAAGAACTCTGGAGCTTTAAACAGGTTTGAATGGCTGGGGGAAGGGGATGGGGAGAGGGAAGGCCCCCAGGCAAGCACACTCACTCACCTGTATTGGGAGAAGTTGGCTCCGTGACCAGACTTAAACTGCTAAAGGGTCCTGAAACAGATCATCTTAGGTTGAAGGGTCTGCTACCTCCTAGCTCTCTGTGCCCTTCTCTTCTTCTCTATATTTGGCATTTTCTGGTCTTTCTTCCTACCCGTCCTCCACCCCCTTCATTTCTCCCCTCTTTCAAGACATGTTAGGCTGGGCCAAGTGAAAAATATCCCTCTGTGAGCTCAGCCTTGAGCCACTGAGAACTGTGGCCCCAGCCCCAGAGCCCTGGGGTCAGTGCTAAACTGGCCTAGCGCTCCTCTTACCTTTCCTAAGCTTCTAGGCCCAGATGCTAGAATAGGACCCACAAGTTGGATCCTACCCTGAGCAGTCTGGATTTTCATGGACTGGAAGGAAGGCACACATGGCAGAGGGCTAAAGGATAGGTCTCCAGCTCATGGTGTTGGCTTCCATTAGAAATGGGACTCGATTGCATCATTACCACCACCTCATGGTACAGAGTCCCAGAGTCCTTTCCTGGCTCTTGACTAATCTATGGGTACGGTACCAACCTCACACAAGATCAGGGGAAGGATTTTTTGGTTTTGTCTTTTGTGGTACTGGGGTTTGAACCCAATCTCATGCATGCTAGGAAAGCACTCTAC